AAAAAGAGTAATCCCAATCGGTGAGGGAGGGAGGAAAAAAAGTAAACAGCATCCGAGGGCTGTGTAGGCGTGAAGAAAAAAACCCAACGTCGGTGAAATTATCCTTGTGAGCTTATAGAGGCCACATGTCGTGAAAATGGAAACAGATTTCTGACGGGCGCGACCAGAAAACAGATGGAAGGTGAGCGGTTAACATTTCTCAGAGCTGGTTTTTTTACGCAAACACCACACTTGTGTGCATTACAATCGTCCCAAGATAATAAGAGCATCGTCATCGCTAACCTGTTTTTGTTAATTGTAGCGAAAAATATTTACAATATGTTTTTTTTTAATTTCATCTGTCTAGGTGTACAGATGTGACAAAAAAATTTTTTAGCCATAGTTTTTTGTGCGTTTTCCCCGAACAACTAATAAGGCATACTTCAAAAATTACATGAAAGAGCTTGCGTGTATAGGAGGCGTTTTACTTCGAAGTGTTTTTACCATAGGAGTAAAAGTAAATAAGCGTTCGTCAGTAAGGAAGAACTTTCCCTTGAAAAGATGTTACCGGCGGATAAAGGCAGTGATTTTCAATTGACAGTTGGCAAAATTGTTGTTGCTTTTTTCAGTATACAAAATACGTTTTTATTGTCAATCGTATGATATTAAAATAGGTACTTTGATAATGCAAAAAAGAAAAAGTTTAATAGAGTTTCTTTTGATAAATACGACACGAAAGTAACCATTTGTTTAATGTTTTTTTTTTTTTTTTTTAAATCAATCTGATTATTAATCTATAAAAGATTGCAATGAATGTAATTTACGATTAAAAGGTTTCGGAAAATATTGCCACTTTGACCTTTGACCTTACGTTACGGTACAATGTTAAAGAAACACACAAAAGTAATGCGTTCATTCACACAAGACAAAAAAAAACAAAAATAAGAATGTGTGGGAAAATGCGCAAAGCAGATCGATCGACGTTAAGGAATTAGGGACTGCGACGTGACCTACCTAAGTACAAGAAGTTCTTTCGCGCAAAACGAATTTGATTAGTAGTATACGTATAGCCTACTGACCTATTTCTTTTTTCTCATGGGAGAGAGCACTTCTTTGAAAGGGAAAAATCGATAAACAGAGGAAATGCCTAAAATACATTCTTCCTTCGGCCTAGATTTTATTTTCGAAAGTCATATCCGCATTCTACTAACGCGAGAAAAGCTAATGGGTAAAAAAAAACGTGTGGACATCGGAGTAGATTTTTTGTTGTTAAAATGTAGCGGTACTTTTTTACCGTTAACTTTTTTTTTGTAAATGTATAGGTACTATTGAACGTATTAACTATTTCGGGCACTTGATGGTAATGATAAATGCAGTCTTTTCCAATATTTCGAAAGTTAAACTATAAAGTAACGTCAGTGCAAGTCAATTATAAATAAATAAATAAAAAAAATAAAAATAGGAGAAAAATACGTAAACAGAATACACCACCTGATCACGGAGGATATATGTATAACCTAACCCTTTAACTCTGGATCCCTTCCAATTTACTCCGAAAACTACATCCTCCACAACAGATGAAACAAAAAGATAAATAAGTAAACTAAAAAATTCGAAACTATGTGCTCTCACATTATACTCACACATATACGTGCCTTTGAATATATATCCTAACCTCCCAATGCAGTAAAATATATTTATAGGTCGTTAATTACTCAGAATGTAACAAAAAAAATGATGTAAATTCTCAAATAGCAGCAGCCAGGTAATGGGTATACCACGGTAGTGGTTACCAACTGCATAATAATATGGCCTTCCTCAAAAACACGACGGCGAGATATGAAAATAAGCTGGATAAGTGTACACAGGAGAAAAAGATAGATACAACCTAGGTAATTAAATTATCAAAGGTAATGGGTACTCACCACTGTGGCCGGTGTTGTTGCTCGACGACTGTCCCATCCTGGTGAGAGTGTGTATACACGTTTTTTCCCCGGGAAGCTCTGGGATATGTTATATATCACAGGCACTGTTAAATGCTCGTGTCGACGACACACGACGTCTCCTATCTTTTTCTCACATGTATTTATGTTTCAAGAACTTCCTATAAACTCGGAAAAAAATAGGTACACTTAATTATAATATATATGTATATTCTAATTGTCTTTCACCGTTTTATGAGTATAAAACATACACATCCGTCAATGCCCGAGGTATATACCTATATGTACAATGTACGTGAGAATGGACACTTGACTCTATCTTTTTGAGAGATAATGCACACTCTCTACCCAATCACACCGCATACCGCATTCAACGACAATAACCGACCAAGTATACTTTAGTCGTTGAACGTCATCCTGGAATAATGGCTATATTGTTCTTCGCCGCCCGGTCAATCTTCCTCTCTCCCTCTTTTCTCTTTCTTCCACTCTACTCTGGTATATCTCTACATCGTCGACGTCACTGTCTACCCTGTATATAATATGCATGTATACACGCATGTTATGTTATAGGCAATCCAGGCAGCGATATGATGAGAGAGTGCTTGAACTTGGATGTGCTGATGGGATGAGGAAGCTGCGACGGTGCACATCTAAACAACTCTTTTGAAGATTAGAGACAAACTCGTCTATCTTCTTATTTTTATATAGGCGAATGTACATACTGCACATATATGATGTTTTTATAACGCTGTGCCGTTTTTGCCACCCCTTGACTCACTTTTAATATATTTAATCAAGTAATACAAATGTTAAGACTCGCCGCGAAGTAGTACATGTGATTTTTTTTTTAATTGCTCGTATTATATGTACATATACATGTTCATTATAAATTATAGTTGAATTAATTCATTTAAAAATTGTCATCTGTAAATATGTAACCATTTCATCATACACACACATATGTGTTTACGTTTTCTGTATAGTCAATAAAAACCAATGCAAACTAATACAAGTATATGCATAACTAAATTGCTCAACTAACATGGTTGTTTGGAGAGACTTTTACTAATGATGGTTTGAAATAGTTATTAAAACATAAATAAATTAAGTCATTGGGCACGTTAAATTTTGTAACAAATTTGTGTTTCAGTTGTAATGTAGAACACATTTTCTGCCAGACCAATAAAAAATAAATAAACGCAAAAGAGCCAAATGCAGGGCAATGTACAATAACGAAGTGAATAAATAATTTAAAAAAAAAAAGGAATTCATTCGCACGCTTTGTTTTGACACGAGGCAAATATGTTGTAAAGCGACGTGCACGTGACACTATCAAATCGATGTTATCAAATGTTATCGATAAATATGTAACGCGTGGCGCATATTTACGTTGATGCGGGTGTAAATATATTTTTTGCCATGCGGATTACGGATACGAGCTCCGAACACCTTCACCTGTAAGTGTGAGTTACGACATAATTGTCTCTCGAGGGGGTGTGGAGAAAATTCATTCGATCGATCTCCGGATGGCAAACTCATATTTTAACTCTACACTGTGTTTACGCAAACTTCTTTTTTTTTTTTCAGATCGACAAATCGGTTATTTGTTTTAAATGCAATTTTTTATATTAAGTGATCGGTATGCGCTGAAAGTTGGCTAGTTCTTCGAAACATGTCACGGCTGAAAAGACTCATTATTTTTATTAAGAAATAAAACAATTAAAACATTCATTACCGATTTCGGAACAATACAAACCTGTTGGGAGTATATCACACGTCGAGGTGCGATACTTTCGACTTGTCATCACGTGTTATTGGCTTTTTGAATACCTTATCAATAGTTGCGGATGACGACGTTATATATTCAAACAAATAAGGTAAATATTAACATACGCGTTTTTGTATACACATGAGTTAAGGAATACAAGGACCATTTGGCAAAATTAGTTCACTTTTAATGGTACTTTTATTTAATTTTCTTAGTGTTGTAATTTTACAGTTTATTGTACAACTCTCTCGATCCGCTACGGTGTCTACGATAGTTTTTTCGTGACTAATCGATTTTTCAGTTTCTCAAAAGATACATTATACATTTTAATGCAACGACTCAAGTGTCGTATACTGTAAGGCTTCGTGGCGATGTTAAAAATGTTTGCGACCTTTGTATTATTACAAGGTATGTTTTTTCGTAGATCCTTGTGATACCGCATTTTTTATGCATCCTCTTTTGCTTCTTACCTTATTTACTTTGTATTATATTACAATGTTTTCTCGATTCGTTTAACGATATCGGTTTTAGGATTCACAACATCATTTGCATATAACCGAGCAATATTGGATGTCGCGGTGGTTTCAAGCAAGTCAAGTTTTATGAGAAATACAAAAAAGTTAATTTTTAACTACCGATACTTAATTAATCGTCGAATGAGTCTTGGAAATTAAAAATGAAACACGAGATAATGTTTTTAGCATTCATACTTGAGTTGCAAGTTACAAAATACAGAGCATTTAAGAGTTTTAAGTACATTTGAGGGCATCACCTACGATTTGAGATTTCCAAGGATGATACATTAAAAATTACAAAGAAGGAATCGAGTTCACAATTCGGAGCACGAGATATTTGAGGGAGCAACGTACGTTGAACAAGTGAAATTTCCATTGTTTTCCGTATAACGTAATCACACGACAAAGTTAGTTTGATCGAATTTTTATGTATCTGGTGACAAGTAAAATAATAATCATCTAACACGCAAAATACTAGCTACGAGTAAAAATTTATTACCTATGCGGCTGGAGGAGGAGGAAAAAAAAAAAGTAGGTGCACAGACTGTCGCGTGCGGGGCTGCACGCACAAATAGCAAGTTCCCTTGGTTACCCGTGCACCACAACACAGGCTGCAGCCCTCCTCGATCCATAACACAAGTGTACCTCGAACAAACGCCTCTCGGCCATGCGTCCTCGTCCCACGGAGTGAAGAAGATCGCCCGATTTATCGGCTAAAATCACCATCCTCGGATCAAAAGGGCCCTATCCGTGACGAAAAAAGGGGGGGAGGGTGGGAAAACGGCGCTTCGATCGGCAACTCTGACCTGGAAACCACCACCATCACCTGCGCCAACTATGCACCTATTGCATTCTACACCCTCGCGGGTGCAGTTTTCGCGATTTTTCGTCGTGCCTCATTAGCCTACTTATCACTGTTGCCTGGGAAAATTTTTGTTTTTATATGATTACTCGTTAGCGAGACTGAAATGAACACGATCGGAGCTGATGCTGGTGTCGTCGTCGGATTAGCGGTGCTCTTCTCCGGGCTGCTTTTCGGCACTGGTGAGTGTACCAGAAACAAACATCTTCACCCCGGCCAACCTTTTTTTTTTTTTTTTTTTTATTATTATGCTTCAGCACTTGTGCATACAACTCTGTACGCCTTAGGATTTTTTAATACCGATTCGGAAGAAATCGAGCTGCAAACAGATCTTGTTTTTTTTTTCCTTTTTCGAGTCGTTAAGATAGCGAATATGTGTCACGTTGACAGGTGGGGCCATTGATTGCTTCAAGTGCGTGTCGATCGGCGGCAGCAACGAGGCCTGCGACGATCCGTTCCAGAACAATGGCAGCGTCCACATGCTGGAATCGCCTTGTCTTGGTGGTCGCAAGGGCCGCGTCGGCCTGTTCCCCGCCACTGCGTGCATCAAACTCGCCGGTGTCTACGGTACCTATATACAATATACACTCATATTTATCCAATTTTCTTTTCCAAGAGATAAGAATGTCATTGCGTTTTCGAAGCGGATACCGGAGTCTCGCTGACGGTGCGAGCCTGTGCTCTGGACAGCGGTACCCTGACCACGGACACCGAGTTGATACGCATGTCGAATTGCGGCGCGTTTTATTTCGAAAACAGGTACTTTTTCCACGCAACTTCCCTTTTGACCAGTTTTAATCAATTTCAATGCGTTGCAGATACCTGCGCGGCTGCGTGCAGTCCTGCAGTGACGCGGACGCCTGCAATCGGGGGTCCACTCGTCCGTCGGCTTTGGCGTTCCGAGTGCTTGGGTGTCTCTTGCTGGGGTCGCTCTTGTCGGGCATCTGCATGTGCCTTGGTTGACAGAAATTGGCTCTTAATTTGTCGTTACATTTGAAAAAATTACCAGATTTGTTGATTTTTAATTGGTAATGTATCGAATAAAGGTTTTATTATGGTTTTTAAGGTCGACTGTGACTCTTTTTTTTCTTCCGGTCGAGAAAACGAGCGAGAGACTTTTTGTATCTATAGAACTTTTTTTTTTTTTTTTATTCTTCAACGTTTTGCTCCAAACATTTCGATCGTTATTAAAAAATACATAATAATTTTATATACAGCGTTAAATATATCGTTCTTCTATCAAAAAAGTACATTCAACAGTTTACGCGTCATTAGTGTTTCTATAAAATATAAAAATGACGCCTCCATAGCATAATATGTATGTATAAATATAGTCAGACATCAGTGTGTGTGTGTGTGTATGTGAGTTAGCGAGTAGTAACCATTTATAAAAATACGAAAATTTTCCTTTCGTGAGTTACGATGCAGATTTTTTTTTCCTTCCAAAGATCATGATCGAACGAGATAAAAACTAACTAAGTCTTGTCAAGTACTATTATGTAAGTACAATAAATTAAATTACAAAAGGCCCGATTCATTCGCGATTCGGCCACCAAGTAATACTTTGCGTTCCACACTAATAAAAAAGTAACCCCTGTTTGAGAACAAATTTTCTAATACTTTTGAAAATTCAAACCAGGAGTGTATCTTATCAATGTTGTTTTGATTTTCTGGTCCGTTTGTGTCGGTCGTATTAATTGATTCGCTTACAGTGGAATCCCATTTGCTTCGTTTAATCGTTAGTTATTGTTATAGCAAGCTTATGCTCCGGCCAGGAGAAAGTTTTTGGTAGTTGAAGCTGAAAAAAAAAAACATTTACAATACTTTATTTTTTCCCTTCATTTTTGACAAACAGTATAGTAGCGGGAAGTGTACCAGTTCCGGATTGCTCAAGATCTGGAACTCTTGAGCCATCCTTTCCGCAAGATCTTCAGGAAGCAAGACTTGCAACCAAGGTCCCTGTACGACGTACGGTTTCTCCATCGACACCAATGTCCCAGTGACCGATGGTGCAACTATCGTTATGGCCGTGTGCGAAATAAAGGACTTAAACGTAAAGTGTCTGCCATGCATGACTCTGCCTCTGCAACAAACAACAAATGTATCACTGTCAGCCGCGACAGGCACCCCGTGCTCTCATCGATAATGATATACCAACTTGATTGCGAGAGGCAGCAGGTTTCCTGCTTCTAAATTAAAAGTGAGGTGCAGCCCGACGAGTGCTCTGGGGGTCTGATTGTCCGCGCTCATATTGACATCCTGCTCGCAGGGCGACACTCTCTCTGACTTGATGGCCGATTTCACCTCCGCTACATCCTCGTCATCGTCGTCATCGTCGTCGACCACCTCCTCCTCCTCCTCGTCATCCGTATCCTCTTTCTTCTCTCGGTAGGTCTCGGTACTCTTGTCGCCGTACATCTGAACCCACCTGAAAAAACCCTTGTTCGTTTAAAAAAAAAAAAAAAAAAAAAAAAAAAAAAAAAAAACAACCCCCAAAGAGACTCCCCGCGATACGCTTACCAGCACTTGGCGGACACGCCGCTGAGATTGGATCCCTCCCTTTCGATGCCGTTCTGTATTTTTTCCGCTATCGAGGAATCCTCCTCCATGACCGACTGGGCCCTCCTCATGTCCGTCACGAGCCACGGGCCGACGCTCTTCGACGTCTTCAAGAGATTGATCACCCCCAAGCCGTTCCAGTGTTGGGTAGCTTGCAGCTCCTCCGGCATCACACCGACGATTTGTACAAAAGTTATCTGCGACACAATAAGTACGAGTAGAATGAGAATCTCAAAATATAGTGAAAAACAAACAAATAAAATAAAATAAAATAATGTACTCACGTCTCCGTGCGGAGTGGAAGCAACGGCCGGGAGTTGAGGGTCCCGGCCCATGAGTATCTGAGTGATGCGCGTGGTCCGTTGTTCCTGTTGCTGGGCGACGGGGCCAACGGTGCTGGGCACTTGGGCGGCGAAATCGAGGGGCGCGTGCCAGGAGACGTGGTCACCGGGTAGGAGCATGTTGCCCGAGGTGAAGACGTACTTGGCCAGCTGCTGCATCACGTTGGCCGGCCACGTCGGGGGACTGAGCTCGCCGCTCTGGCGCACCAAGCGGAAGGTCAGCTCGAAGCCAAAGCCCGACGGTCGGCCGGGACCGCTGCGGGGATGTAATCTACCGTCACCGTGGAGGTCCGAGAGCCCTAGGCTGTGAGAAAAAGGGTTTGTGTGCTAATTCGCAGGTAACTACATTTTTCATTTTTATCTTCATCTCGAGGGTCTCTTTTGGTGATTCGAGTGGAAATAGTATACTTGATCCGAGTCAAACAAGACGAAGGTAAAATTAAGAACCAAATGGTAGCAGTGGTACCGTCTAACTTTAGGTAAACCTTTAATACTACATAGGCCAGGTAACTCCCCAATTTCGTAGAATAAAGGAGTCTCTGTCTTGGGTTCTAAGGGTCTGTATACCCAAAGTAGAATCTGATGACACCGCTGCTATATATAAACCCCCCGAGAGCCGCGGTGAGGGTGAGTATACACGAATATAGATAAACAAAGAGGGGAGAGAGGGAGAATTCATGTGGGGTCAAAAATCTCGAGAGGCAGAAAAAAAAAAAAAAAGGGGGAAGGGAAAGAAAAATTGGAGAAGAGAGCGTGTCTTGAGGTGACGAGGCACGCGACGGGCCTAATGTGTATTTCCGAAGACGAGAGGGAGGAGGAAATCTCTATATCCGGTGTTTGGCCTTTAAACCAGGGCGAACGGAGGGAGGAGGAGTCTGCTCGCGCCGCGTTTTATTATTAGAGTGTGTACAGCTACTGCATTTGGAGGAGAGATAAGGGGGCGCGCTCTTCCTTTATTCGGCTTCTCTTTGTCATGGGTGAACATTTATAAATACACCCCATACTTGCGGCTGATGTACTTTTTACATTATTTTCACGGATGGTACAATTTATGAATGAACAATGCGAGACGCAACTATTTTTTTTTGTTTGTTTTTTTTTTTTTTTTTGAAAGAAAAATTCAAAGGGAGCACTGTCAAGTAAGGGGGGGCTGGAAAAAAGTGTGCGTATTATAGGGGGCAAGGAGCGGACAAAGGAGGCAGTTTTCCGAATGGCCAAGGACCTATATATTACACGTGCAGTTCCCTCCCATCGAAACTTTCTAAGGTGTCCCTTCTTTTGGTCCACCTTTTTTCTTTTTGTATACAACGCGAGCGACGTAAATCTCCGGAGGACCGTAAATACATGTATACATACGTTTTTTTTTTTTTTTTTTTTTTTTTTTTTTTTTTTTTTTTTTTTTTTTTTTTTTTTTT